ATCCCACATACAGACCGGTTCCCGCTCACTGGCTGAGCGAGGCGCGGGAGCGACGCCGAGGATTGCGATCCCGTTGCCGGTCCCGGTCTGGTACGGGGGCGACACTGAGGGTTGCCATCCGTTGCCGGACACGGAAAAAAAAAGACAAAAAAAAAAAAAAAATGTGTGGGTGTGTGAATTTTCTACATGGAGAGAGCAAGCTTTCGTGAAATTCTCAACTGTATTCTCACATTGACCCAATGAAAGGGAAGAACTGTAACAGCTGTAAAATTAGGCCAAGTGTTCTCAACCTTGACACTATTAATATTTTGGGTTGAATAATTCTTTGTTTTAGGGAGCTATCCTGTGCATCATAGGATGTTTAGAGTATCCCTGGCCTCTGCTCACTAGATGCCATTATCACACACACACACACATGGTTATAACCACAAAAATTTCTCCAAACATCACCACATGACCCCTGGAGACAAAATCACCCTTTATTGAGAACCGCTGCATTAGATGATTGTTTTTTTTTTTTTCTGACTGATACATTATTTTATTTCAACAAAATCTGAAAAGACCCAAACAAACCAAACATGTTACAGTCATGCATCACTTAACAACAGGGATATGTTCTGAGATATGTATCATCAGGCAATTTTGTTGTTGTGCAAACATCATAGAGAGTACTTACACAAACCTATATGGTATTGTCTACTATACACCTAGGCTATGTGGTCCAGCCATTATAATCTTATGGGACCACTATTGCACATGTGGTCAGTCCACTGTTAACCAAAACATCATTATGTGGTGCATGGCTGTACTTTTAAAAGTCTGGGTGGCATTTAAATACTTGGAATAACTAAAGTCACATTAATGCAGCAAGATTATTTTAAAATCCACATCTATCATTTTAATAATGGCATAATTATCCCCAGTTTTGACTAGAATGAAACCTTACTAAGGAGTGAGCAAAAGAGATGTACTGCATTTTCTCTAGCTTCTAACTTATGAATGACTTCATTTATCAGTCAAGAATATGTAGAAAATGAGTATATGTGGGGACTTTGCTTCTTTTTCATGGGGTTTTTAAGATAATTAGTTCAATAATTGAGTCACTGATCCAAAAGGTAGATAAAATATACCTATAAAATTTATCAGTGAGCCAGATGGACCACCAGGCTGGAAGCTTAACAAAATATGCCCAGATGTGTTTATACTGAAAGCCCCTCAACATTAGGGAGTCCCTGTTCAATACTAAACAGCCAAGTAACTCACTGTGCCCTGTGGTCTGGAGACAGACAGCTGGTAAGTTTCCTGGAAACACAATGATCAGTACTCCATTTTGAGATTGGGTCTGTGAGTCTTATTTTTTAAAAAAACATATTAATTGTACATATAATGGGAAACAGAGTTATATTTCTTTTTATTTTATTTTATTTTATTTTTTTGTCTTTTTCGTGACCGGTAAGGGGATCGCAACCCTTGGTGTGGTGTCACCCACACCGTGCTCAGCCAGTGAGTGCACCAGCCATTCCTATATAGGATCCAAACCCATGGCGGGAGCATCGCTGCGCTCCCAGCACCACACTCTCCCGAGTGTGCCACGGGCTCAGCCCGAGAGTTATATTTCAATACATGTATACAATGTGTGATGATCTAGTCAGGGTAATTAACATATCTATCATTGCAAAACTTAACCATTTCTTTGTGATTTGCACATTTGATCTCTCTTCTAGTCATGCAGTAAATTATTGTTAATTAAGATTCCTGGGTCAACTGTACAGCAATAGGACTTATTTTTCCTATCCAGGCACAGAAAGAGAAGTATCACATGTTCTCACTCATTTGTAGGAGCTAAAGAAGAGAACAAAACAAAACAAAAATAAAGTATTAAGAAGTTGAACTATTAAAAAGAGAAAGAACTGTGGTTACTAGACACAGGAAAGGAGGCGGGGAGATAGTGAGAGGCTGGTTAATAGTTCTGTGAGTCTTTGCATTGTACAAGAAATCAGTGCACCACATGCCTCACAGCATGGAAAACCTGTGTCTCCAGTATGATTCCAACTAATCTGCGGGTCCAGGATCACTTAACAAAATCCTAACCCCTTTCCTTCATATTGCACTTCTCAATGGAATTCCCTAAGTCTAGTACTAAGTTCACTTATATAATGCAGAATAAAAATAATGAAAGCTGTCATTTACTGTGTGCCAGATACCATATCAGATACACTATCACCATTACACCCCAAGAAATAGGTTTTAGTATCTTTATTTAACAATGAATAAACTGAGACTGAGCAAAAGACAATGACAGGATTCAAACTCCCATCTATCTGATGCCACAGACTTCCAACTCTAATAATAATAATACATTAACATTTACTGAGGACTTACCGCATTAAGTATTTCATATGTCATCTCATCAATCTTTACAAAAATAATTTTCATTATTATTATCCCAATTTTACAAGTTAAAAAAAAAAAACGAGATTAAGCAACTCACCCAGGGCCACCTAGCTATCTTTCTTTTTTTTTTCAATCTTTACAAAAATAATTTTCATTATTATTATCCCAATTTTACAAGTTAAAAAAAAAAAAAAACGAGATTAAGCAACTCACCCAGGGCCACCTAGCTATCTTTCTTTTTTTTCTTAATGTCAGGAAAGCATTTGTTTTATTTGTTTGTTTGTTTAGAGTTATCTTTACTGATTTTTCATGGCATTTTTTTTCCCCACCTAGCTGTATTTACTAGCAAACCAAGATGAAAACCCAGGTAGTCTGACACCTGAGAACAGGTGCTTAACCACTGTAGTACATACTCTCTTCTCTGCAGAACATGCCGAAAGATATTTACAAGAATAAGACAGAATCAATTCTCTTAATATTGAACCAACTGGACATTTTAGCTTTAAAAACAGAGGAAGCCAGCCTGATTTCTCACTAAGAATGCCCAATTTCTGCACTCCACTCTATCAGATTTTGGTATTTGTATGGAAGCTAAGATTTCTTTGAAATATATGAAGCTGAGTGTTTGGGAAGAATGTTTCTTCTCTTTGATTGTTGTGACCCTGCAGATAGAAATCACAATCAATCTGAATGAAAACAATCCTGAGAAATTAAATTAGAGCAGTTGCTGTACTTACTTGCCGAGTTTTGAGTCAAGCTAGCTCCTAAATCTCATGAGTACACATCTTCCTCTCCCCACCCATCTTTTAAATCAATGTAAATAAACATAACATGAAGGAACCACACTTTTTTATTGATCAAACGTTTTGCAAATAAATGATGAAAGAATTTTACAAAATAAAACAGAGAAAAAGGGAGAGGATGAAAAACAGACCCATGTTTCCTATAAAACTATTTCAACACAGCTGGCTTGCTCACTTTAACAGAGTTCTGAGACCACTAAACTGTGGAAAGAATAACTAATTAACTAGCATGCATCTTTAGGGACAGTGAAAAAATATGAATAAATGTCAAATTTCAAGAGATTCTTATTTAGTTTCAAAATCATACAATGCTTCTGAGATGGATTTTGAAGTTGACTTAAAATGATTAACTGACCTAAAATGTACTGAGACCCTAGGGTCCTAAAGCATACAAAAACACTGTAACAGGCACCATGGCACTCTTTTAAAATAAAATTTTAAATTAATTGAAGCCTTCGTTATCACTGATAAAATTACATTAGTCTTTCTTTGCAGATGGGCATCCCTTCAGGAAGTGTGATAACTAAGAGACAGTAGTCTTTTGTATTAGATGGTTTGATGCAAGAGATAGAAGCCAACCTCCAGCTAGCTCAAGCCTAGAAGGGAAATATTGACTCATAGCAGGGTGTGATAGAACTGGCCGCAGGCCCTTCTGCAAGCAGGGACTCAACCACTGCAGGGACCTGCTCTCTTTCTCTTGAGAATCTGTTTCATTCACTCTGATCAGTTTCACTAGCAGGGGACTCAGCCTCAGACACTCTGAATTCGCATCATTACAGAGAGGAAAAGGAAACTTCTCTCTCCCAATTTGAGTTTTAGAAAAACCAAAACAAATAAACATACAAAAACACACCAAAAGCCTTCTGGTTGGCCTGTCCTCTGTCACATGCCTGCCTCCTGTTACTGTTGCCAGGTAGGAAGGTACCATAATTTAAATTAGCCTGGAAAACATATGTACCTTGTGGCCAAAATGGGGAGGAACTGTTTCTAAAAGAAGGACCTGATAGGTTACGGCCAGACAAAATCAATAGTTACTGCATCCTCATCTATTTTGGGTGATAAAAGGAAAGTAATTTGGCATATGAGAAACACATCCCAAATAACATATATCATGGAAACAAACAAGAAAGAAAGTAATAAAGAGGAATAAGAAATAACATTGTATTAGAATACAGTCTGGGGCCGGCCCGGTGGCGCACTGGATAGTGCGCCGCTTGGGAAGCGCGGCGACGCTCCCGTCCGAGGGTTCGGATCCCACGTACAGACCGGTTCCCGCTCACTGGCTGAGCGAGGCGCGGGAGCAACGCCGAGGGCTGCCACCCCGTTCCCGGGCCCC